AAACCTGCAAGAGACTCCAGATCCTCAGAGCCAAGATGCCAAACGTCACCTAAGGAATGCATAAAGAGCCAAACGTCACCTAAGGAATGCATAAAGAGATAGGAAGAAAGAGTGCAGCAAGTGACACTGGGCCCCAGAGACTCCAGATCCTCCAGATCCTGTGGACCCCCAAGGGCCTCAGAGACTGCAGAGAAACATAAAGATCGGGAAGAAAGATTGCAACAAGCAAATTCGCAAAGCCCCGGCTTCTCTGGCGCAGTCCCCCCTGCAGGGGTCGGCGGATAATACAGCCATCATTTCCCAAGAAATATAGCACACATCACCAATTATGACATCTAATAAGTTGATATTTATTGGTTACATCTGCTGGTATGGCTAGTCATACGGGTCAACTCTTGTATGAACAAAATCGCAACTTCGGAACAAAGCTGCTGTTGCTTGATGATGGCTCTGAAATCTTTTCAGGGCTCAAAACTGTTCTTGTCCCCCAAAAATGGGTGGTTTGGATGGCTTGAGTAATCCAAACTACTGGTAGATTCGCCCCATTTCATCCTCAAAAATGGATGGTTTGAGAGGGACCTTGCGGAGTTTGTGGGTCCGTGGGCCCCCCAAAGTATCAGTAGATTGTTTGTCCTAACCTCCTGTATCCCAAGTATCAATATTGATTGTTTACCAATCTAAAAACAGTCGGGATTGACAGTTAATATCCCAGTTGATATCGATATACTGTCAGTCCCAACAGTTGGATACTATTTACCAATATATAATCTTTCCATATTGACATACTGTTAATATCAAGTGAATCCATGCTGTTTATCCCATGTCAACAGCTGCCCTCAGGGTGCCGTTGTACATCTGGGACGACGTACCGTGGAGCTTCTACCGCGAATTGTGGGACCAGGAAATCATTGGTTTCAGCGTCCAGATCAAGGGGCTCGAGAAGGTTGGGACCTTGGGGCCGGGCCCCCGGGCCAGGCAGCTTTGGAGTTCGCTTGGAGATCAAACATGGGGGAATTGGTGGGGTATAACGTGGTATAACCAACAGAACTTGGGGATTTCATGGGAATTTCCTTGCGGGATTGACTTTTTTTTTACGGTGATTTATAGTGGGATTAGCTGCTGGCCCACTGGTCGGCAAATCATCGAGCAGCCGCAGTCAAGTTCGGTAAAGCATCTATTTCGATTAGGGCCATTTTCCAGATTTAAGTTGAGTATGAAAGAGAGTGGATTAAACATGATTGAACAATCAACTATAGTATGGAATCATCGATCACCCAATCAGATTTCCCCCTACCTAGTGGATCAAAATTTTTGGAGGGGGAAGGTCCCCGCCATGATGACCCATGACTCTCGGCCAGATGCTGGACCATGTGGCTGAAGTGGGCTTCGAAAAACTGCAGAGTATGGAGGAGAAAATCCTCAGCATGCGAAACAGTCATTTCAGCTATGAGCCTTGGACCAGCATTGGTTTTCGATGAAACATGGGGGATTGAAGCACCCCCCCCCGGGGGAGAAGCAGCATGGGGATCAACTCCCGCACGCGCCATGGGTGGTCCTGTTGTCCTATCAGGTTGGGATCGCTGGAAAGTCAAATGCCTCGGGACCACAACTTCTGGGTCACAAAATCATACTACCCTCTGGTTATGTCAAAATAGCTAATGAAAATGACCATTTATAGTGGATTTTCCCATTGAAAATGGTGGTTTTCCATAGCTATGTTAGTTTACCAGAGGGTATCCAACATGTATTCTTTTGAGTGGAATGTGTACTTAGGTGCTTAGTTCTGATCCTATGTCCCTCATTTCGGCAAGGGCCAAAGTTTCGGACCCTGGGAATCGCAGATTCTTGTTGATTTTCACTATTAACCAGTGGGTTTTAGGATACCTCAAGTTTGACTCATACCCATCTCATTCTCTGTTGGTTTATAATCACTGGCTGGTGGTTTCAAACACTTTTTATTTTCCATAATATATGGGATGTCATCCTTCCCATTGACTAACTCATATTTTTCAAGATGGTTATTGCACCACCAACCAGATTTTGACTTTCATTTTTCCATTCAGTTGGGAATTTCATATAATCCCAACTGACTTTCACTCCATGATTTTTCACCAACCAGATCATTTTTCCCTATTGAACTGGTGAAATTGGGTGTACCCCCCCAAAATGTGTGGAGTCTGACCAGTCCCATCTTGTCTCCTTGGTGGCTCATCCCACTTCGCGGCTTGGCTTAGCTCACCCGAGTTCTAAGTGGATGAAAAATCAGGGAGATAACTTTAATGTGGTTAAAACAATAATAACCATCTCCTAAATCACCATAGACCATTCCAACATGGGTAGTTTATGGCATTGTTTTTACCACATTGCTTAGGATTCGTGGGTAGTTCGCCACCAATTATCTGAGGAGGGTATCATGGACCAAATCTCCAAGTTTCTGACGGGCCGCGGCGGAAGCAGCGACCTGCGCTGCGTCAAGTTCAAGCGCCGGCGACGGCGGCGGCGGCGACTGAAGTGGCTTCGGCCACTGCGGCGACTCCAAAGATGGGTCCAAGAGTGGCTGGTTTAGTGAGGAAAAACATGGAAAAACGGCTGCCATCCTGCTACGAACTGGGGGAGAACTAGCTTTGCGGCTGATGTTCGATGAAGTTGCATTTTTGTTGAGCTTCTGAGGTAGTAGGGAACAGCTGGGAGGGACTGTGGTGAACAATCGGATGAGAAACTTTGGAGATGGCCGTTGGGATCAGCGCCGATTGATGGCCGTTGGGATGTCCCGACAAGGGTGACGAATTGCTTGCAATGGAGGGTCTCCCATGAAGCCAAGCAGCATGTTCAAAGTTTCCTTACCCTCTGGTAATGACTAACATAGCTATTGAACATGGCCCATAGAAAGAGTTGATTTACCAATATTGACCCATAAAGCGTTGTGATTTTCCATAGTTATGTTAGTTTACTCTAGAGGGTATATAACAAAGCCAGTTGGGAGAATGGAGCAACGGGGATTATCAACCAGCTTGATCATCCCATTTGAACTACTATCACCATTGGGATGTTCATTCGCAGTGGTGCCCAGAGTTATAAGTTTGGTTTATAAATCCCGTCCACTATGCTTATAATGTCCATACACCCAAGTTCTGCTGGTTATAAATTATAAACCAACTTAACTGTTAACTAGCTCACACCGGATTTATCAGGTGCAACCATGAGTCCCCTGTACTCTGGTGGCTTCCTATGACCTTTGCATTTTCGTTAGGCACCTGGCGGTCACAGAAGGTGCCAGTCCCGTCAGTTTGGGAAAGTTGAGGCATGGGTCAAAGCGGACGATGATGAGTATATATAGATGAGTGATGTTTAATAATTCGTGGACACCCAAAAATTGGATGGTTTGAGAATGTAAGGTATACGATTGGAGACTATTTTGGATCAAGAATTGATATCTATAACATTCTATAACTAGTATGAACTGTTTATTTGATCCTTTGATAGCGGGGGTCCAGTGAGAGGTCGCCATGCAACCGAATCTCTGGCGTCAGGACTCATTTTTGACATCCAAACAGCAGGACATCCCATGACCCATGACATCCCATGACCGTCACGAAAAACGGAAAAACACCCAGAATCTGCACATCACTTTTCTATAGGACTATTTATATAAGTTCAATTCATCTTGAGAAGACAATGAACATATATACACCATACATGTATACGTATCAAACAAAACAACAACATCATCCATGACACCCCTCATTCTCCGATCATCCTCATTTTAAGTCCAGTTCAATCCATCATCTAAGTATCATTAAGTATATCTTGATATTATCATATATTATCTTAGTTCATATCTGTAAATTCATTCCATATATTCCATTCCAAGCCCCAAAAAAACCAGCCCGACACTTCTACCCTACCGTCTCCTGGATCAGCCCTCAGCTCCCCATCCATCGATGGAGCGCCATGGCGTTGCTGGCCGAGCTCGAGGATTTCCTGCGCCGCAGCGGCTTGGCAGACGCCAAGGAGGCGCAGGCCGCGGCGCTGGCGGCGCAGCTGGCGCTGCAACAGAAGCGCGAGGCCGTGCCCGGGGGGATCCCCCGGGGGGATCCCCCTGGGGATTTTTAGGGGGGTAAAGCCATGGTAAAGCCAAGGATTTATGGGAAGATGCTGGGAAAATTTGGATTTCATTGGGGACCGGGATGACAATTTGGATTTCATTTGGGATGAATTGGAGGAAATGTTGGTGTCATAAACCAGCCTAACATGGGTTGTGGTTTGTCTGGGCCTTGCAGTTCTGAGTTTTGATTTCGCGGATTCGCGGATTCACATGGCACAAAATTCCTCCTATTCATCAGCCTTCCAATCTGGGTGATATGTCGTCTTTCTTTCCATTTAGAAGCTATTCCCTGGCTTAGGAAACGTTGATGTTTTTTTCGAGATAGTCAAGGAAACGCGTATTCAGTTGACAGCTGGCTGAGTTTCAGCGTGTTAATCTGTCGCCGTGGATCAATGGTCGAGGCTTTTCATTTAGATTCCCAGCGCCTGCGCTTTATTTGGCTCCTGGGCTGCAAGAAACTTCAGTTAAAGGTGATGAATTCTTGGAAAACCATGGCCCTGTGATGTGAAGATCTTGTCCGCATCAGTCATCATTAGTCTTCAACTGCTCTGGCCCTTGAGTGCCGCAATACCGTATACCCTTCGGTAAACGTAGCTATAGAAGTCATAGCCCATGTATGTTTACAGTGCCTATACTTACCTAGCCAATCCTAGCTATAACATGATGATATGGTAATGTTCCAGTTCGCACACTGCACACTGTTAAATAACCAGAGGGTCCTTACTGCAACCCTCCACGCGTTTTAGCTCTTCTTGTTCCAGCCAGTGACCACCCCTTTGAGGTGCACTGTGAATGAGCACGAGAACCAAAAATCACCTGAATTCCCTGAGAACATCAGCCATCACAGATGACTGGGGACGCCAACACCCCAAAAATCATCCAAAAAGTCAATCCACCACAAAAGTTTCGCCCAGAAACCCAAACACGCCCCATAAATCATCAGAACTTCGCAAACATCCGCACAGATCCTTAAACAATCCCGGAAAGTCATGAAGAACATCACCAAAGATCCTCCAATAAATCCCTAACAACCAATGACGAAAATCACCAAAATCACCAAACAATCACGAAAAATCATGGATGTTTTCACTTCAAATCTTCCAAAACCATAGAAAATCACAGGACAACTCAGGAAAATCACCTAAACATCCTTGGAAATTTATCAATTAATCAGCTCCAGAAATCTCTCAGGCTTCTTCTCCCCGAGTTCTGGGAACGGCCCAGCGCCACGGCGGCCGTCAGTGCGGTGAACCGGCAAATGCGACATCTCCTGGCTGAGAGCGGGCGGTTGCATGTGAGCTTCTTGGCTGTCTTGGGGTATTGTAGGGCTTCGCACACCGGCGATGCCCCAATCATTGGATTGGTTTGAGGGAAAATCTACACCGGAAACCATGGTTTTTACCATGAAGATCATGGGGGTTTCCGGTTAACATTTTCCTGTAAAGCAATCCAATGAATAGGGTTGTTGTTGCGAATGCTGCCGCTTGCTCTCTTGTCATGCAACCATCTCTTGACACAGCTCTGAGGTCATGTGAGTCTCCACCCTAATTCCCTGACCCTGGAAGTGCCTGAGAAATCCGCAGGGCCTGCGCTGAGAGGCTGACCAATTGTTGGGAGTTTTGGATCGTGGAAAAGAACAGGTTGATGTGTTGGCTTTCATGTACCCCAAAAACAAACAAAGAGTTCTCTGTTGATAGAAATCCGATACTCACTCCATTTTGTGAGATGAATTCATGTAATTCAGCTCGAATCAGCGAAAACTGGACATTTCAGGAGAACTCCAAGATGGTTTGGGCCCTAGTCACTTAGTGAGAAGATATTAAGAAGATATATGCTATCATCATGTCAACTGGGCCGCATGGTCGAAATCTGATGTGAACCGCCATTTTTCAGGTCACCTTTTTGCTTCGCCAAAGTCTGGAGATTTTGGGGTAAAAGGACCTGAGGATCCCCAAGGTGAAGATATCTTGAAGAATCAGGAATATCTTAAATCTTATATAATCAACATATGAGATATATTTGTGTATCTTGGGTAATATCTTATATCCACGATATTCGTAGGAATATTTTTGGATATCTTTGGCAAATGACTCCCAGATTCACTGGGCAGTTCACAGGGACCAGGTGCACGGAGCCAGCATAGCCAGCATCCCAAGTCACATGATTTACATTTCTGGTTGGTGCTGACTGGAACCATGGAATTTTGTGACTTTCCATAATATATGGGTATATAATGGTATATATATATATGGGATGTCATCCTTCCCATTGACTAATAAATTGATTTTGACTTTCATTTTTCCATTCAGTTGGGAATTTCATATAGTCCCAACTGACGAACTCCATGATTTTTCAAGATGGTTATTGCACCACCAACCAGTGACTACACATTTGGGAGATCCTCCAAAGAAACATCTGCCCGGCACCGCGGCACCGCGGCACCGCAGGTTGCCTGATGAAAATCTCATTGGATCGCCTTCTCAGCGTTCAGTTTCACATGCCTCGGCTGCCTGATGTCTTGGCATTACTCGAAGCTCGGATCATCCCGGTGGAGGTTCCCAGGGTTCCCAGGTTCGGTTTTTTCAACTGGATCCCTCTGGTTACCCTCTGGTAAACTAACATAACTATGGAAAATCACCATTTTTCATGGGAAAATCCACTATATATAAATGGCCATTTTCAATAGCAATGTTAGTTTACCAGGGGGTATTTAACATGGCGCCATGGAAAATCAACATAGCCAAGTCGCTTGGTCAAGGGTTTTGAAAGGGGATTTCTATGGATTTCTGGCTCTAGACGGTGAAAAAATCATTTACCCCAACCATACCCATAGGATCCATGGTGCTGCTATATATGGTGCTCCATGGATCCCATCAATATACCCCCTTTATGTTAGCATATGTACCAGCACCATGGATGCGTCATGGGTTTGACAGATGTTACTGTTGTTACTGTTGTTACATAGGCCTCAAAAATAGGCCTTAAAAAAATGGTAGGTACCTCCATTTTAGGATCCTGAAATTCCCATTGATACTGTGGAATTCCACCAAGATTTCCGTAACCTGTCCACTTCTGCTTTCTCATCTCACAGGCTTGGAGCAGAAGTACCGATTTCTGGAGCCTAAGATGGGCAACTGGTTGAACTTATGGGTTTATAACTCCCATTTCACTAGGCCTTATGGGGAATGAATATATATATATATGTATATTTATATGTATATATATATAAAATATACTATTTACAGAACTACCAGGTTCTTCAAAGTGACCCATTTGAGGTGGTTCTTTTTGGGCCTTTTTGGGATTAAGTGACCTCGAATTGGTGGTTGAAAAAGGCACTTTGAAGAACCAGGTATGTAATAAATATATGAATAAATAAATATATGAATAAATAAATATTTGAATAAATAAATATTTGAATAAATAAATATTTGAATAAATAAATAAATAAATAAATAAGTTATATATAAATATGT